TCCTGTGTATTTCTGATGGCATTAAAGTCACCCATTAGGCACCAGTTGCCTCCCTTTTCCATGATCATATTCTTAAGGCTAGTCCACAGAGTTCTTTTACCAGGCATTTCATATGGAGAATAAACATTCACAATGAACATAGGAGTTGCTAAAACCACCCAAAATCCAAAGACCCCCACAAAAGTTTCCCCTTCGATAATTTTTTCTTTCTTCAATACTTCATTATTCCAGATACAGATTAAGCCTTCGGAAGCCTCTTTAGATGGTTTAGCTACCCAGTCAAAATTTTCTAAATCCCGCACAGTTCTACATAGATGAACATCAACCACCTTTGCCTTTGATTCTTGAATAGACAAAAAATCAACTTTCTCTTTTACGACTAATTCCTTGATACTATTCTTCTTACCCTCCCCTCCTAATCCTCTAATGTTAATCGACAAGAAAATCATTGTAAATTATTTCTACCAATCCCTTCTTCAACATCATCACTAACCTTTAATTTTCTGAATAGCTCCCTATCTCTGTCTTCCATATCCTTCAGTCACCGAATCACCTCCGTCTCATTACCACAATCTCCGGCTCCAATCTTCTTTGCAAACGCCCAAATCCTCTTCTCATTGTCATGCTCATTTGCTCTTCTCAACTGCTTGTTCCTATTTTCAATGCCACTGTCGGTGATTGATCCACCTGCTACCTAATTTTGGTCTCCTGGGTGAAAATTCAGCATCATCTCCTCAATTCCTTGCTCATTTGGTAATTTCTTCCTCCCATCTGTCTTGGCTAGCCGCACCTTCTTCCTTCCTTTCATGTACACCGACAAGCACGGTCTACTTTTCTTTTTTCTATTCTTCTTCACTTTTTTTTCCTTTCGACCCATCCACTCCCGCTCTTGACTTGATTCATCCACAAAATCCTCCCAAAAGGAAGACTCTTTCCCTACAAGTAGTTGGCTAGTTGGGCAGTTGTTGTCTCCTTCATTTTCTCGGGTTTTCTCGGGAGAGGGTTTTTCGGCTACTACTTTGTGGCTCTCTAAACAAGACCCATTTTTTTCTACCAGTTCCACTACTTCCGCCAAGACAAGCCCAAATTCTACCATCTCCAAATTAAGTTGTTGATCAAGCCTTTTATCCTTAAAGGCCTAGTTCCCCTCTGTTGTGGTTGGGTTTGGAGGCCCAAATGGCCCAATGTATTCAATCTTACTATGCTTTTCTTTTTTTCCCGCTCTCTACATATCTAGACTGTCCAGCACAATCTCCAATTTTGCTGACGTCCCATCATGATTACCGGAGCCATTAGGTTGATTTTTTCCTTCCCCGTTACCTTCAAATTTTTCTTGGGAACCTTCAGCATTAATTAACATGTCATTCATGGCTGAAGTTTGGTCTCCCTATACTATTTGCCTCTTTTCTCTCCAACGGCTATGTGCCCCTTCATCCCTCCTTGCCCCATCCATCTTCCCAACCTCCCCTTTCTCCACGTCATCATCATCCATTTTTTCGTCGAACATATTCCAGCTTCCCCTAGACCTATCGGCACCAAGGACCAAATTGTTTGACTCACCATCAAGTACAATATTTAGTGTCCATGATTCTGAGTAGTCATCATCCGAGGCATTCAACTCTTTAAACACATGATCAGATTTCATGGAGAAAATACCATTAGTTACCTCCTTCTCCATGACTTTGACCATAAATGACTCCCCATTAACCTTAATGTTCAAGGTTTTCGAAATGAAGTCCATTGTAGGAGTGGTGATCAACAATCTTCCTATATCAAACCTCTTTTTCTTACTAGTGCTATCATCAAGAGTGATGAATTTTCCCCACTTATCTCCAATTGTGGCAAAGAAATCAACCCCCAAAGCATGAGTAGGTACCCCTTGGCATCGTAGCCAGACAAACCTTTTCTTTGCGATTGTTGTTGGTTTCCATGGTTTGACTTCTGTGAACCATTGTCCGAGCCATTTTGGTGCAAGCTCGACTAAATCTTTTATCTCATCTTTGTCTCCTCCCTCTAACAGAACTAAACAACCTCCCATTGGTCTTACCTTGAAAGAGAAATAGCCTTCCAGAAAAAATTTCTCCTGTAAAGTCGAAATGATTTCAACAGAGTGGGCTATCCCAACATAACATCCTTTAAGCCATGAATATTCCTCCTCCACGTTGAACTCCAAGCTGTCCTTCACCTGCCTTCGGTAGCCATATCTGTGCGCCAGCTCTTTTTCTTTTTCTTTCACTTTCCTACTGTTGGTGCCTTATCGGTTCTTCATTTGCTACTTTTCTATTTTCTAGTTTTGATCGGCATCTATGCCTCTTTTCACAACCTCTGCAAAGGTTCTTTGCACTCTTACTCTTTCTTCTCCGTTGTGTCCTTGATCAGCACCCTTGTGCCTCTCATTTTCCTTGAACTTTGGTCTATTGACCCATAGCTTAAGCTCTCCAATCCAAATCTAGTCCAGTTGTTGCCCTAACTCCCATTTGTTTTTGACCCCTAGAAATCTGATGAATCCGAACCTGCTCCCCATCTTTGATTTCCTGTCTGGACTGTAAATGGCCAAAACTTTTCCATACTTCCGAAAAGTTTGCCACATGCTTTCGTAACTCCAATCATCAAGGAAATTGGTAAAGAAAAACACAGTGGCTTGATTGTACATCTGCCGATCATATCCCCACACATCCTGTTTCCTTGGTCTATTTTGGTGTAGAGCTTCGTCCTCACGTTCTTGTCGGTTTCTTCTCTTGTGTCTGGATAGCTCCTTGCTTCGTGCCGTCCTTCTGCCCTGTGATCCAAAGCCGTCGAAATGCTCTCATACTCTTCCTCTCATCTTCCTCTTTGACACAAGCCTAATCCTTGACCTTGTATTCTTTCAATCATTAACTTAATAACTTTCATTTCATATATATAAGGACCAAAATTATACAAATATGAATAAGGATTAAATCAGTTTATGAGTTGTACCTCAGGGACTAAAATGTAAGTCAGCCACAACAAAGCACTAGAGTCCTAATGTAGGGATGAACCTATCGGCCCAATCAAGTTTTCTGGGCTTTGCTTTCATTCCTTTAGCCCAGTTTTTAAGCTATCTTATCCTAGACCTAGTTCATTAAAAAATGGACACCATGGTACCATACCATCATGCCCATTAAAAAAACATACCCATCCCTTAGACTTTCTCTAGTCCATCTTAATAGGGAAATGATACATACATTATCCAATGTTACACACTCTGTTACATATTGACGGTTTTTGTTATTGTGTTGTTAAAATTAATTGTTTTCATTACTTGTGTTGTTAAAATAAATAGTTTTCATTATTTTTACCATTAAAACTAACGGTTTCTGTCAATTTTAATGACACACTAATGGTTTCTGTTAGTGTGCAATGAAATGTGTAACTTTTGAAAGGTGTATGTATCAATGTCCATCTTAATATCGTGTTTAAGATGACACTAGACTACATTCAGGAGGTGTTAGGTTCTAGGTTTGGGAACTTTTTCCT